AGTCAAGTGATTGAAAAAAAGTATACATTTATGTTTTCATAAAATTGAAAGGGATATTATCAAACAATGTGAGTCTAGTGATCAAATATCTTTCAGGTGTGTTATGATTTCCAAAAGTTGCCATGATCATTTTCAAAAAATTGTTTAAACCTTAATTTTCAAAACCTAGCTTCTAATACCACCTGAAAGGTCTGTATAAATTGTTAGGCCTATAATGATTATCCAAATACTAACCAAGAGGGAGATGAATTGATTATTTTAAAAAATCTCTTTAAAATTTTAGAAAACTATTTTATAATAATTTTTTTTTTTCAAAGAAAATTTTTCAACCACAAAACATATAAAGTGCAGGAAAATAAAATTACGATAAAATAAAAAGAACATAGAAAATTTTTAGTGGTTTGGTCCAACTAGATCTACCTCCACTCCCTGAAGACTCTCTCTTCAAGTATTACACTATTACCAAAGTGACTCTCATTTTGCTCCCACAGCAAGGCGGAGAAGCTTTTATAATTACCCTCTCTTCCATTAATCCCTAATGTGGTAGAGTATCGTCATCCTTTTACACCCTATAGGTGTTAGTAGAGTACCATCATCCTTTCATACTCTCCAAGTCTCGGCAGAGAATTGATGTCCTTTTACACTCTTAAAGTGCCAATAGAGAATTGGCATCCTTTCACACTCTCCATGTATCGGCAGAGAATCGAATCTTCTTCAAAGATCTTTTCTCGAGTATTTTCAAAGAAGTATGAGATTTGCTATAAACACAAATAGATTCTCACCTTTTAGTAACTTTTTGAACACTTCATACTCTTAATTTGCAAGAACTCTCTCAAACACTCTCCCAAATCACTCTCACACTTTTGCTCTTCAAGAAAAAGTAAGAAGGATTCGTCCTTAGTTAGTTTTTAGGATTATTTATATAAAAGACACCAAAAACTGTCCAGAAAATTGAAAATCTCAATTATGACCGTCCATGATCGTACAGTATAATCGACGATCATATGTATGAACAATTCAAAATTTATTCGTACAATCTTGTATGAACCAAATTTGTACACAGAAAGTTGTATGTACGAATTTACATTGTACAGTACAAACTGCTTTAATCAAACCATCTTTTATTTGGTACAAAAATGGATGAGTCCATTTCATATACTTGAATCATTTATACGAACACAAGTTTGTATAGTACGAACAATTCAACAAATTTTATTGTTCGAATGGACAAAAATGTACACATTAATTTTGTACTCTAGATGTCGTATGTACAAACTCAAGTTCATCCTAGACGAACAATTCAAAAATTTTACCTATTCATATGGATAAAAATGTACGCATCAATTTTCTACTCTGGACATCGTCTGTATGAAGGCAACTTCATACAGTACGAATAATACTTAGAAATATTTTTCATCCATGATTTGATTAACTGCTTCTAGAGGAATGCTCACACCAAATCATCCCGTATGATCTAAAATTGTACAGTACAATTAGTTTTAAAAATTTACAAATTTTTATACTCCCCTAGTGTGTGTGTGTGTGTGTGTGCACGGTTAATCAATTATAATCACTCTCTCTCAAACTCAAGAAAAGTATAAAAAGTACATACTTCAAATATAATCAATCCTAGTCTATTCTTTATTGAAGTTGTCAACTGTCTAGACTATGATTTCCCTGAAATATTAATGTATACAAACAACAAAAAGCAATATTTTCAATATATATTAGGAGAAACAGTAATCAATACAATAATATTTTGGAATCATCAAAAACACACATGATATAAAAACATAGTTATGAAAATAAAGTTGCAACACCTTACCTAATGATCTCCTTCTTTATTCCCAAAATACTAATATTTACTCAAAAATAATCAAGCATACTGACTTAGATATAAGAATGAGAAATATTTCATTCATTTTAAATTTGAAGAGTCAGTATGACACTAAATATAGGTGCTCCAACCATGATTGTAATGATCTTGCTTAATAATAAACTCTTAAAATGGGTTGTTAAAGAATGAATTAATGATTTATTATAGATCTTAGTAGTCTGTAGGTAATTAGACTTTATTAGATTATTAATAGTTATTTATAGACTTTTAAAAGTTAGAATTCTACAAATATTCTATTTTTTATAAATAGAAATGAAGTAAATCTCCCTCTTTATGTTGTATTCACTTACTTATTCCATCCCTTCATATTTCAAATTTGCCTCCATCCTGAAATCTAATGCTTTATCTTCACTAAAAAAAAGGTTGCATGTCAATGGTGATCTCAATGAGCCCAGTTACAACTGAAGGTACTAAAACACTTATCCAAATTCAACCTCACAAATTCCACTATCCAACACCGACTCTCATAATTCTTCATTCTTGTTTTATAGTTTTTCTTATACTTACAATATGAACCAAAAATTCCAAAGAGCATATAATATACCATTATATCTCATAAAATCCTATTAGTTTCATGCATGACTTCATTGCTCAAGTGTATTCTAACCAATCACCATATATTGGTTAGAATTTTAACATATAATTCATATCATCTAAAATTTAGTAATTTATTAGTTATAAATACTAATTTATGTATATTATAGAAAGAGCTGTTGGACAGAGAACCCACTATTACTGAGTTGCACAATCACACCCATCTATTCTAGGAGGAAAAATAGTGGGTTGACTAGCAAGCGAGGAAAGCATTCTTGAGTCTCTAAGTTATAAATAGTAATAGAAATATTTTAATTAACACATATATAACAATTAATATTATGCTTTCTTTTCTTGGAGAAGTATACAAGTCTTTTAGAGAGCTAGGTTGGAGTTAGTGAGGAATCCTCTAGGAGATCGCTAGATTATTTTAATTGTCGTACATGGCCACAAGAGGTAGGAAAAATTAAGAAGGGGTGAGTTTATGAACTAAACTCACATGCCTACACATTCAACGTATAGTCATTGGGTTCCTTAAGATTCTTAGCAAACAACCACAAAGGCTTGTTTAGCCAACAGGTGGCTGCCCATATAATAGGGTTTGAGCAAATTCAAAAATCACAAGCTCATATGCAAATTAAATATAGTTAGATATTAGAGGAGCTTTAGAGAATTAGGGAGCAACATAGTGAAAAATAGCATGCAGCACTTAAGGGGAGTGTGGAAATGGCTTCTGATTATATTGCTTATGTTTGTAAATATTTTATTAGTTTTTTAATGTTGAGAATAATTTGAGGAAAGTGTAATTAGTATTTGATTAAGATTTTTGCACAATGTGGAATTTTTAGCCTTTCTCGACTGTGTTTTGACTTTTTGCTACTGATATTATATTATATTGTAAAATAAATGACTTGGGAGGGTATATTTTTATTTGTACTTCAAGTTTCTGATGGATTTCATGTATATTTTCTACTGGAAATGTCGATACGATGAATTTAATATATAAATACTAGCAAAAAATTTTGTCAATATTTCTTGTGGATTACTCGGAAGTAGTTCTATTAAAATTTCCAACATATTTGTCTATTATTAATCGGCCAAAAATTCTAATAGATCTCTCTTCTGAATATTAGGAGAACCAATGGGATTGTTACATAAAGAAATTTTAAAATTAATCTGTTTAATATTTGGAGTTTGAAATATTGAGTAGGATCAAAGTCAATACATAGATTTTGCAAAAGGATATTTTACTATAAAATCATACTGAAATATTTCTCAATTTTATCAGTAATACATCGCAACATCACCTAATTGGATCATGATCGAATGATCCCACCTTTAGAGAGAAGTCATATATGTATGTGCTCAACCATGATCAAGCTAAAAAGCGAAGCAATTTATTAAATTTATCTTATATGCTTATTTTTTTTACTTATATCATCAATCATCAAATTTAAAAATAAAGATGATAATAATAACTTCATTATTCTTTAGTTAATTGCTTTACATCATAGCAAATCTAACTGATTCTAAAGACAATATATATAATACACTTAATTTTGTTAATTATAAAAATTTGTTCTATATTATGATAATAAACATAATAATTTTGGTTTTGATTTTGATCCCAATAGATTCACTCTATGTTTTAAATGCAATTCGATAAATTATATCAAATATTTACAGCATATCTTTTTTTACATACATATAATTCCTAGTGATTTATTTTAGAAAACTCTTTGCCTAAAAATAGAAAATAAAAAAATTATTACAATGACAACTTATTTACCTTTTTGGAGGGAAAATTCACTTAAATAAACTACTTCTAAGAAAACTAATAGCAGATAATATGATCATAAATACAACTTTAGCAATAAATATATCAAAATACAAGCCATCTTATACATATACATATACATTTTTTTGGAATATATAAGAATGAAATTCTAAAAATTGAATAATATTATAAATTTTTTTTATAATCCATAACAATAACAGTTCATACACAAACAACAAATCAGCATATATTTACATAAATAAGAGAAACAAATATTCTTACCAACTTTCATGAAAAAAATAGTTGTAATTTAAATTATTGACCTTGTAGCTTCATCTCCTCTCTGCCTCCCTTACTCAAATCTCTCCGATTATAATTTGATTTCCTTCTTCAGTTGCCGACTATTTATTACAAGTAAAGGCGTTTGATTGATACTATTATATAATTAATAAAGCTAAAAATAAGCTAATTATTGATACTAGAACAGTTTTTAACCAATATTCATTGCAATTGTCAGGCATATCAAACCAAATTGATGCACGAGCTTATCTGTAGATCCTGGAGGCTACTCGAAATTGCCGTACCGAAAGGCGTTGGATCCTAAAAAATTAGACACGGCATAAAAAGCGTTCGAAATTGCGGATGAACAGTAACCGAGAAGATTGCGTAAATCTGTTTCACGCATCCTTTTTCACATTGCGGATGAACGAACAGTAACATTCCTTCTAATAAGGATAATGCAGCGGCATTTGTAGCAGCAGAAGTGAAAGTCATCAAAGTCATAATAACTCGTGATTTAATGATAACTATATAAAGATAAAATTAAGTTTCATTGAAATATTCATACTACTAAAACAACATATATAATACATAATAAAACGTGTTTCTCTTTCTACTGGCATTTACATACACAGCTGCATCTAAAATGCTTATTTCTCGAAGAGACCAATGAGCGGCAGATAGCTGCCATCAAGAGGAATGGCAACCCAAGTTCATACGATGTCCTCAAATATTGTGGATAGGACAAGCCCCCTAACAAACTCACACTTGCGAGTTCTTTCCTCATGCTCCTTGTCAGATAAACATGGCTTTGAGCTGGACAAGGTTCATAAAAAATCATTTGTTAATTTTAGAAAAATATGCAAGTCAAAACACTAATAGAACCAAGTAATTACAAGCCATTGTACATAGTATTTTATACCAAGTTTGAGAAATCATTCTAGAAATGCACATAGTGCTGAAACACAAAGTATAAATAAATTGCCCAGTAATCTAGAGATGTGCAAGTAATATACAATGCAAAGTATCATTAAGCTAAGAAATATTTTACAGAACTACCACAAACTGATAGTACTATGAAGGATATAGAATGAGGTATAGATTAAAAAATGATTCAAATAAAAAATTAATGAATAAAGCACCTATTGAACATAAAGTACAGAAAAATAAACAAAGATAATTTATTGAAGTCTAGAAGATGGGCAAATAAAATACAATAGCATCAACCCTTTATCCCCACCATGAGGGTTTGGCTACATGAATCATTCTTCTCCATTGTCTTTGTTAAGAGTCGAATTCTCTTTTAAATCTTAAAAAAAAAAAATCATTTATTATACTCTTAAACCAAATATTTTTAAGTCTGTCTCTACCTTTCTTAACATAAGAAAAATCTAATACATTACTCTCCTAACCGGCTCAACGGAAGGTCGATGTTTCATGCGACCAAACCATCTAAGGCAACACTCTCTAATCTTAGCTGACACTAAAGATACTCCAACCTTTACATGCTTTTACTCGTTTTGCATTTTCAACCTCATCTCTGCAACACTTAATTTTATGCTTCTCTTTTAAATGGTCAACCTTCTATGCCAAAAAGTATTGCAGCTCTCACCACATCTTATAGAATTTTCGATTAAGTTTGAGGGGTATTATTTTGTCACACAATAGGCACAATGCATTCCTCCACTTTAATCATCCAACTTGAATTATATTAATAATATCACCATCTAATTCACCGTCACTTGAAACAATAGGTCAAAAATATATAAATCATATACTCTTTTTAATAACTTGATCGCCCAAAATCATAATCCTTCCACTAGATCTATAGATACTAAAATTACACTCCATGCATTAAGTTTTAGATCTACTCAAACGAAAACGATTAGACTCTAAGCATACACCATGGTACATCCTCTTGTAAATGTCCAGTAAGAACATCAATAACTAAGCAAAAAGATATGAGCTTAAAAATAGAATAATAAGTAAAAAATCAACACAAACGGATCAACAAAATAGTATACAAAAGATAATACATCGTGCAAAAAAAAAGCTCCAACTAAAAATTAAGTACGAAAACGAGACCAAATGATTTGGGCATAGAACAGCAAATGAAGATGGGACGAAAAAAGCTAGGAGACAAAATAAATCCAAATGCATTAAAAAGAAAAGTAGACGGACCGAAGGTGAGTCGCAACTTTCTGCTAAAAGATTTGTTAAATAAAATTAGCATAGCATGAAATATTGAACCAGAATTAAAGGGAGCCCAAGATATATAAAGCTAAATCAAAATAAGCATGATAAGATTAAGGATGATGATACAACAACGACAGCAACAACAACATCAGACCTTCATCTCCCAAAGTGGGGTTGACTACATGAATCCTTTTTCTTTATTGTGTCATGTTTAAAGTTAAATTCTCATTTACATCTAATAAAGAAAAGATATTTCTAATATTTTCTAGCCAAATCTTTATAGGTCTACCTCTACCTTTTTTAACCTAAGTCAAATCTAATACATCTATTTTCCTAACCGGGTCATAGGAAGGCCACCATTTTTATGTGACCAAAACATCTAATGCAACTCTCTCTAATCTTAACTTCTATTGGAGCTACTCCAACCTTTTCAAGATAAAGGATGATGATGATAAGAAATAAATTGTTCAAAAACATAGCCTTTCAAAACGTTTTCAAATAAGAAATATAAAATGCAGACCAACATGGCCTCATTTACTTAATGGTGCCAATAAAGATGCATTCAACATAGAAAATAGATTGTTTTAGACACGAGCATTCAATTATTTATAAATCCATCAATATTAGGTAACTCAAACATGGAATAAATGTTACATTAAAAGCAAGTTGCATGGAACATAACTACCAGATATTATTGCAATTCAAACATATTTTATCAAAGAAAAGCATTTCAATTCTGATTTTTTTAATCCTTAAACTGTAAATTATTTAATAAAAAGAACCATCTTATATCGCGTCAATTCAATCTAGCTTTAAGTAGAGTTTCGAGCTAATTCTAGTAGATATTAGTAACTCAATAAATATTATTTATATGCAAAAATCTAAACTATATTAATTAATATGTATATATATTTATGCATGTATATGTATGCATGTATGTACGTATCTGCATGTATGTGTATGTATGTATATATACGTATGCATGTATGTATTAGCATAAACATATATATGGCTCTAACAATTCTGAGTAATTCATTTTTTATTTGGAGCATATTAATTTTAATTTCAAGTCAACAAAAATTCAAGTAGTTATCGAGCAATTTTCAAATTTCAAATTTCAAATTTCAAATTTCAAATTTCAAATATAATTGTTAGCCCTAGTGACGATCATCAATAAATGTCAAGCAAATGCTCATTAGCATAGGTGATGACAAGGGACCAGGATAGGAGGGAGATAAAGGCATTGAGCAAAGGAAAAGACTGAATAACTGAAAAGGTATTTCAAAGACATTACACACTCACAAGAAGCATCTTTCACGTATCCCAAATTGAAATTCGGGAACACACAAATTTCAACAATGATAAATCCATCAGTATTACATAATTCCTAAGATCAATAAATGATAAATCCATTGGAATTAAATAACTCTAAGATAGAATATCATTTAGCCGACCCCATGTAGTGGGATAAAGGCTTGATGTTGTTGTTGTTGTAAGATAGAATATCATTCTCATCAAATGAAAGTAGCAGGATACATAACTTCTATGCATAAAGATATATCAAACACACTTTATAAAAAAAATACACTGCAATTTACGTCCTTTACTCCTAAATTGCAAACAACACAATCAAAAAGACCAATCTTTCCCCATAGTAATTCTACCATGAAGATTATTTAAGACAAGTATTGTCAAGGGGTATGATACGCCTGTCCAACCAATTAGATAAAGCCTACACTACCACCAATGCTATATGAAGTGTGGGGCTTAAAACACAAAATCGGAAGATTTTCAAGTGCTCAATTATCAGTTCTAACGTACAAGCCAGGACCACATATTTGGATCTTCGGAGGCATACACTTTACACCACATGGTAATCAAGATTGGCCTCAAGTTGGCTATTGGGGCTACCCTTGTCAATCTTGTTTCACTATGCATTCCTTATGAAGTGCCTGATAAGGTTATAACTCTTAATTTCCGAATAAAAAAAATAAAAAAATAAAAACTCTTAATTTTTGAATCCCATTTGTCTTCTAAACAAATACTATTGATTACTCCTTTACACTTAATCTTTTCCTTTTCGGATGAATCATGTTTTCTACTTTTTACATGAAGTACCTTTTGCATTCAAGGTGGTTAAAAACTTGGAATTACCCAAAAACTCAAAAACTGAGAAGAACAAGAAACAATTTGAAATCAACACAAATCATCATCTATCATACATAGAACTCATCCTCTCACAAGTAAAGGTCAATGCACTTAAAAGACGACTGAAGGCCTATTGGGGCTAGCCTTATCAATCTTGTTTCACCATAAATTCCTTTTGAAGGCCTGATAAGGTTTTAACTCTTAATTTCCGAATCCCATTTGGCTTCTAACCAAATACTATTGATTACTCCTTTACCCTTAATTCTTTTGGATGAATCATGTTTCTGCTTTTTAATCGGATTACCTTTTGCATTCTAAATGGTTAAAAAGTTAGAATTACCCAAAAAACTGAGAAGAACAAGAAACAGTTTGAAATGTTCAAACCAACACAAATCATCATCTATCATACATAAAACTCATCCTCTCACAATTAAAGGTCAATGCACTTAAACAAGACTGAAGGCCTAGCTAGCCAAAGGAGCCAACCAACCTAGCATAAGCTCATCAAATAAAAAACAAGATAATGAACTTTAAATATTGTAATAAAATTGCTTTGGGGCGGGGGGGGAGTTGATAGATTGTCTTATAAATTGCTGCTCATTTGGTAGAAATTATCATAGATATCATGTTGTGCAACTTGGTCTTCCAAAGTTCTTTCCCTCCTTTCATTCTAGAAATTTGAAAGCTACTCAAGTCATAGTGAAGAAATTTTTCTTCAGTGCTTCAAATTGAAGTGATGCACGATGAGGACAATCCGTATGATCATCAATGATGGTAGTGTAGGCACTTTTTTTAACACAAGTGAACAATGGAGTAAGTATACGAGGGAGAATAAGGCAACATACATGCACAAAGAGCACTGATAGTAAAGCATTTAGAATGATTCCCATTTGTAACTTACATACACAAAGATCACTAATAGGAAAGCATTTAGCATGATTCTCATTGCTGTAGTTACTAATTAAGAAGGCGAGAATAAGAGGCAACAGGGGAAGAATTAGGAGATGTAGAGAAGGGGCAAGGATATGTGAACTGTAGTGTCACCTTGCCGGGAATTAGTTTACAGATGCAGTATAGGGTAAGATGGAATGAAGAAATTTCAGAATCGGCACCCGTATATAGGATCAAACAGCTTTTAACAGGTAAAACAGATTAACTCTACCTCTACCTGGAGTCGAATTTACTTGGTGGGGTTGAAATGAATGCGAAAGAGATTGTTCCATTTCTAAGCTACTCGTCCCTGGGTGGAGACGAGTAATGTGAAGAGCGTGGAAGGAATTGTTCGAGTAGAAAGCAGGATGAAAGTTAGGTGGTGCAGGATATTAGAGATTGTATTTTAATTATAGAACATATGCAATGATATGTCCTAAGGCAAGATTGGGCTTCCTCATATATCCTTAATCTCGAATAGTAGTTAAATGCTCAATGTAACGAAAGATCAAGTCAGTGGCATTGAATTCGCGACGGGCCAA